AATTTGAAATTTGGTAATACAAATAATACATATTAAAAGAAAAGGTGAAAATTAAACATCTCTGACTGGAGCTTTTCTTCCAACCTACTTTACACTCAGAAAAGGAAAAGTTAACATTGGTATCATATGATTATGATACGAATTTAATAACTAGCTATAAAATTTATACACAATCTAAAGTAACTGTAGCAAAAAATACTATATCAAGTGCTTCAACTTTTGAGCTAGTTTGTATTTCTCCTGTCAAGAAAAAAATGATTTCACTAATTTCTTATTAATCATCAAATTACAAAAGTAATATAAGCAAAATATTTATTTCATCTTTGTTTACAAAACAAAATAACTTATTATCATCTATAAACTATCTTAATCAGCTAAAAAATACCACATTAAGATTGAGAAATGGAATAGAAATCACAATAGTTTACATTGATTCTGAGAAATATTTTAATTATAAACATTTATCTCATAACCTATTTATAATATAATTTATTTTTTTTATAAAATGAATAATTACATAATCTACATGCATGATTGCTTAGTGAATGTATCATATGTAAAATAAAAAATATGATTTACCTATTCTAGGTTAGATTCTTTAATCTATAATGATGTATTTTTTTGAGAAGTTTAAGAAGATCAATAAAGTGATTTGGGGATTCTTGATTCCTAAATTTCACTATAATTATAACTTTAAAAATTTCTATGTAACAGTTATTTAGTAAGCTTATAGGGATTACAATAAGAAACTTGAATTTTTGAAAAAATGAATTTAGGAGGGGATGAGAAATAATAGTACTTCTGATAGCAAAAATTTTTAGGTATACTTAGAAAAAAACAAATAGTAATAAATTCTAAGACATAAGAAAAGTATACTATAGCTTATGATAAGTTTAATGCTTTATTTAAAAAAGTTTCTCATATATTAGAAAAATTAATTTAGCAAAGTAATCTTATCATATAATCATGATGTAATGAAAACTTGTAAAAAATTTATCTAAAATGAGAAATCGAAAATTAATATAGATGAGATTTTAAGTAATATTAATTATGGAGAATCTAACAAAATAGATGTTAAAATCAATGTAAGTTATCAGTAAGTGATACTTACTAAAATTCATTTATATACTTCATGTTTTTGTCTGATTTTATTTTACTTATTAATTGATAAATAATTATAGAATTAAAGTTTAAAAATCACTAAAATATTAAATATATATAAAGAAAGGAAATTAATAGATAAAAGATTGTACATTTGTAAGCTACTTATATTATTATTAAATATATTAATAAGTAATTTGTCAAGAAAATTGATAGCATAGAATATATGGTAGGCTTAACTTGAAAAAATACATCACTATTATAATCTTTGCTTTAATTAATATTTTTTAAATTTAGAGGTAAAGAAGGAAGTTTAGCTAGTATTACATAAAAAATTGTCTAAAAAGCCAATTATATATAGTAACCTAATTAGAAAAAAATGCTGAACTTAAAATTGTTTATTTTGAGACCAGTAGACCTAATTTCAGTTAAGATAAGCGAATTTGTGATCACAAAAAATTAATACATTTTTTTAAGAATTCTATTAATACTACGAAGAATATAAAAAACCTTAAAAAGATATTTAATCAACTATCAAATAGGTAGAATCTAACTATATTCATCATCTATTTTTTATATATTTATAAATTATTTATATCTAACCATATTCATCATTAACATCGCAGGTACAAATAAATTACTTCTATTTTTTATATATTTATAAATTATTTATATTCTACCCTATTTACTTCAGCATAGCAAACTTGCTTATATTACCTTATTGATCATTTATCGATAATATATAAATAAATTGTCACATTATATAAAATCAAATAATCTTAAATTAAGAGCTTTAGGCAATACAGTATATGATCAGGCAAATTCTATAAATCAATAAATTCAATATTTTAAATCATATAAAATATGATTCTAAAATAGTAAATCAAAAATTAGACGTTATAAATAAGTTAGCTAAGAACTAAAATAAATAATTAAGTAAATTACATAATAAATTAATTTTTTTAGACTTCTAAGATTTAAACAAAATTATAAATATATGGCCAAACTATATTGACCATAATGTTTGATATTTTAGATTATGTAAAATATAATATAAAAGTATTATAATAAAATTTTAAATAATACAAAAGTTAGCTTTGAGCCAACATTTTAAATATATAAATCATATGTTATTATAAATATTAATAATTTAGATTTCTAAGATTTGAGTAAAGTCATATATGTGTGATTAAATTATGCTGACTATAATATTTAATATTTAAGTTATGTAGAATATAATATAACTGTATTATAATAAAATTTTAAATAACACAAAAGTTAGCTTTGAGCAAATTTTTGAATATTTCAAATATAAATCATATTATTATAATTATATTAATTTTGACAAAATCTTACTTATAGTATAACTTACCCAATAATAATTATATTTTAATAAAATTTAATATATTATTTTATAATATTAAAATGCAGTTACTTGTAAAAATTTAACATATATTATTATGTAAAATTTCTGATCAGAGCATTTTTATATTGTTAAATATGAATAAATCATCAGTAAATTGATCAGCAAAATGTGATAAAATTAAGTATATATACTATGCTATTTACTTCTAGGTGATGTTATAGAATTTTATACTATGAGAAAAGAATCAGGCATTTATAAATACTGTTTAATAGAGCAGATAACAATTCTATTGTATATAATTTTACTAAGTTTTGTATATTTACTTATTTATACTTTATTAACATTAAGAACAGCTGTAGCATGTGCATTTCATAAAATGACTCTAGAGATAGTAAGCATAATTCTAATGAAATAATAGTAACAGTTTTAACTTTTAAAATTTATAGAATAGAAATTTGATATATATATTTTATTAAATTATATTATTAATTAAGCAAGTGTACTAGATAAAAAAAAATTTTTTTGGCAAATTTCAGTAAACTGAATCACCAAAAATTATATGATTTTTTATTTTGAATATTAATATACTAATACTACATTATATAAGCATGCAATTTGAAATAATTAATTCTAGTGAGACTGATTCATTAAAACAATACATTAGTAAGTTTGAGATCAAAAACAATAAAATTAAAGCTGAAAATATTGAGCTTAAGGCTAAAGTTGTAAAATTAAAAGATAAGTAATTGCAAAATAAATTAATAAAAATTTATTATCTGTATTGTGAAAAAGATGATCATATATTAATACTAGCAAAAGTGATTAGTATTATGAAAAGTAATGTGCATGTGATTTTTGTTGATCATTAAATAGGTATTTTGTGCATTTTTGATCAGAATTTTCTAACAGATCTTTTGCAATATTATCACGTAAATTTATTTTAATAGTTTATAAATGAATTTCTTATGTGAAAACTTTTTTGCACAAAACTATATCTAATAAAATATTTCATTCTGACTATAAACATATTATTGATAGACTTCCAAAAGTCTTGTTAAAGGAGCTTACCAAAGATTATTATATTATTCTAAAGATCCTGTCCTATTAAAATCTATTTCTGAGAAATCTAAATGAATTGAATCCTTTTTAAAGCATACATTAAAAGTTTATACTAGGAATGCTAATGATCACAGTTATAGCTGATCATAACTATGACTGATATCGGTCAGTCAAAAGCTTCTGATTAACTGGTTGACTAACTGGTTAACTGACTGACTTAAGACTGAACAAATATGTTTTAAATAATAAAAACATTTTGTATTAAAATTAACAAAATTAACAATTTATTTTAATTATCTATAAATTAAAATTTTAAATTTTGAAAAAAAATTAAAGTCTGTGATAATGTTATGCTACTATATATAAAAATAATAAAAGTAGTTTAAAAAAGCCATGTTAGTATTATTAAAGCAAGAATCAAAATTATAATATTTGGCTAAATTAAAACTTTCTATTAAGCTAAAACTGCTCAATTATATTACTATTAACTGGTCGATCAACCAGTCAGTTAAAATTAGTTAGTTAACCAATCAGTCAGTCAAAGGTCTTTGACTGACCATTGATCAAACGGTAATCAACTATGACTGATTGTTACCATCTATAATTTATGCAAACTCTTTGAATAAGAAACGCAGAATTATAGTTTAAAAAAAAATATTACATCCTCAAAACTGATCAGAATATAATGTATTCTTAGCATTACCATATATATTCATTATAAATAATGGAGTCTAAACTGATAAAATTATCTATGATAATTTGAAAGAAAACAAATGTTGGATTATTGATTATAATAAATGAACTTTTGAAAAATTTATGTTAGATATAGAAAAGGAATATAAGAAGTGAATTAATACAAATAAGAAATTATGAGACAAAATTGAGGATTTGAAGTTACAGATGTGAGAGATAAAAAAAAGAACTAGCATCTATGAAGTTAGATTCTACTTATTAGTTTAGATACTTATTTTCTTATGCTTTTGCTTCACCTATATTCCTTCTGCAGGTTCAATAGTATATTAACCTTAGTCAAATTGTAAGAAGATCATCTTCTGGTCTAGTGAGATTAAATATAATAAATTCACCTTTTTGAAGGTAGCTATTAATGACTATTAATACATTTTTTACATTATCAATATATTGTTCAATGACTTTAGCTAAATCTTTACTAAAATATGCCTATAAAATAGACAGATAATCAACTTCATTTTTAATAAACAAGTAGAAATAGAAATATTGAATATTACAATAAATGAGTTTTGCTTTTACTTTTACTTTTTTATCAAGCAAAAATATATCTGCTTATCAGCAGATACATGTGATAAATTAAAGCATTAATCAATGATGCTGTACTCATAACATTTTTTCCAATAATGTTACTAAAATTAAGAAAAAAGAAAAAAATCTCTAACAAGTAAGTAGATGTATTTTATATATTATTTATAGATATCTTACTCACTTAATAAAAAAATAGCTTTTAAAGAGGATGTTCAAATTATCAATATTGGTACATTTTCAAAGAGTATGGAAAAGCCTGAGGAAATAGCACTGTCTTTTTCAAAGGAACTGTTTACAGGTAAAATGGATGTATTACAAATATTTTTTGTAAAGCAACTCACTTTATTGATAAAATAGTTTATAGAGGGTGTTGAGTTTACTAACATTTTCCTATTTACGAAAAACAGAGAGGTTACTTCAACTATTCCAAGTGTTGAGAAAATTAAAAAGTAAAAGCGAACCAATATTATAAATTTTTTATAAGAGAAGAAAAAAGAGCTAGACATTAATGATAAACATATTAAAATCATTAAGGACCAAGAGGTCACTAGTCAAGCATTTCTTCTTCTAACTGAAAAAAACCTTATGTAAGTTGGTTTACCTCTAGGATTAGCAAAGTTAATTGCATATTTGATTAAAACTTTTAAAGGTGAAGATGGTAAGTAATGAGCTAATAATACTCTATTAATTATTACAATAAACTTAGAAGTATAAAAAATTATTGTAGCGAAAAAGTTTATATTTGATGAACTATTTGATATATTATTTTACAATACTAACCAATTTTAGCTTTCTATTTTATAAGTGATGCTAAAGTATAAATATGAAGAATCAACAGAAAATTTAGCTGAGATTATAAAAAGTGCAGTGCATGAAGAATTCTTCTAGCAAAAATCTGATGTAATTTTGGTATCAAAGCTTTTTAAAACAATTATAAAAAAAATTATAGATGATATTAGAATAAAGATTACAAAAGTAAATACTTTCTTTTGTTTTATTTCAAGTATTATTACTTATCATTTATCAATTCTAATTATCAGTGAAAGATTTTCTACTACTTGAACCTGTATTATGCAAACCATTCAGATGGAATATAAAACAAAAAAAATCAATAGATGCAAGACATTGAGAAATAGTTTAAGAATGTATTAAATCTACTAAGAAATTTCCATGTGAAAAATGTTCATAAACAAGTATACTTTTAATGATATTTGCAAAATGCAAACACTATTATAACAGATGGTACTAATATATCTGTCAGACCAAGTGAGACAGCTTATGTTTAGATTAAAACTAAGAAAATATTTGAGGATTTTAAAGAAGTCAAGCCATAGGAGAGTTATTCTTAATAAATAAACTTCATCTAACAAATGCAATGATCATCTTAACAGATTAGTAATAATTAGACAATTTGTGCTTGAAGAAGAACAAAATTTTTACAAGTGGTAAGAAAGGATATTATCTATCAAATAGACTTGCCTGCACCTTTTAAAAAAAAAACAAAATTCCTCAAAAATATAACTGAAACAGTTGATACTAAAATAGCAGATATAGTTAGCGATATGTCAAAATAGAAATTATTCAATATTATAGTACAAAAAAGATTAATATTGGTAAAAGATTACTGTAGATTAGATGAACAATTATAAGTGGATCAACTTATTAGGCAGTTTAGTGATAATTATGAAAATTTATCACTGATAATATTTACATAATGCAAATATTTTTAGATATTAATAATAATAACAGTTAGTATTAAGTATTTTTATCACGTAAATTTACATTTTATTCTTGTAATAACTTTTAGTATGAAGATAATGCAAAAAATAATAAAGTTATATCCATTTTTTTTCACTAAGTCCTCTACTTAACAATATTTTTTCACATGTATTGGGTTATAAGATTGTACTAATCAGATCTTCCTTTTAGCTAAAATATTAGAATCTTGATTTCATTACTAATCTTTGTAATCAAAGATAAGTATAAGGGATCTATTGATCTTTATTATAATCATTTTCTGCAAATATGTATTAATGACATTTTTTTAGCCTTTCTTTACAGATCTATAATTCAAAAATAATTACAAAAGATCACCTATATGATCAAATTCAATTCTTAGACTAAGTGCAAATAGTCATACTTTGTGTCTCTATTCTTATTAACTATCATCTCTTATAAATATTCAAAAAAAAAAGCTTATTCATATCAGAGTAGTGGGATACGAAGCATTATGATTCAAGGATCTAATTAGTATTATAATAGATTTTTATTAGCTTCAAGATATGTAATTGAGAATAGCCTTTTTTGAAACTTTCAGCATATGGTAGTATTATGGTAAAAGATCTTGCTAATCTGATGATCAGTTTGCTATTTAATTGAAATTCAGAGATGATGAGTCATTATTAATTCATTGTAGAATTAATCTAATCAAAACATAAATACAAGAGGTTTATTATGATTAATTATTTCTACAACTAATACTAATATTTTTTTTACAAAATATCAATTGACTAGATTTTCATGATGTGATCATACTTACGTGATTCTAATAAATAATTAATTTGATTCTTAGATCATAAACTTAGTTGTAAAGTAAATAAAGTTAGTATTAGTATTCACGTTTTGATGTTATATATCAACGCTAATCAAACTTACCTTTCAGATTTTTTAATAAATTTCTCTTAATAATCATGAGATACTGAAATATTGATACAAAAGTACTCCCTAAATTGATTTATCAAATTATTCGCATCATAGCTATAAAATAGCATTTTTCAGAAATACTGGTTTGTATGTGAAGGCTGACACATACCTTATTAATACAGTAAAATTTCTGTGACTTAGCATAATAATGCATCACCTGATTTTTATTTGAAGTTTGATGCAGTATCATAAATACTTAAAAATCAATTAGGTATAAAGCTTTGAACAGTTTGGATTAATCTGAAAATTTTCAGTTCAGTTCAGATTTTTTTCAGATTATAAATCTAATCTAAACTGAAAAAAATCTGAACTAAACTGAAAATTTCAGATTAATCTGAAATTTCAGATTATTTGGAATGATAAAATTATCATTCTAAACGAATGATAAAAGGATTGTTTGATTAGAACGATGAAATTATCATTCTAAATGAATGATAAAAGAATCATTCAATTGGAACGATTAAATTATCGTTCTAAATGAACGATAAAAGAATTGTTTATTTAGAACGATTGAAGTTATCGTTCCAAATGAACAATAAGAAAATTGTTCGATTAGAATGATAAAATTATTGTTCCAAATAGACAATAAAAGAATCGTTCATTTGAAATGATTGAAGTTATCGTTCTAAACGAATGATAAGAAAATCGTTCGATTGGAATGATCAAATTATTATTCTAAACAAACGATAAAAGAATCATTCATTTGGAACGATTGAAGTTATAATTCCAAATGAACGATAAGAAAATTATTCGATTGGAACGATAAAATTATCATTCTAAACTAACGATAAAAGAATCATTCATTTAGAATGATTGAAGTTATCGTTCTAAATGAACTATAAGAAAATCATTTAATTAGAATGATCAAATTATCATTCTAAAAGAACGATAAAAGAATCATTTATTTGGAACGATTGAAGTTATCATTCCAAACGAACGATAAGAAAATTATTCGATTGAAACGATAAAATTATCGTTCTAAATGAACGATAAGAAAATCATTTGATTAGAACAATTAAATTATTGTTCCAAAAGAACAATAAAAGAATCATTCATTTGGAATGATTGAAGTTATCATTTCAAACAAACGATAAGAAAATCGTTCAATTGAAATGATTAAATTATCATTCTAAAAGAACGATAAAAGGATCATTTTAAATGATCTAAAATTTTGGATTAATTTGAAATTTTCAGTTCAGTTCAGATTTTTACCAGTTTACAATTCAATTCAGTTTCAGATTGGCATTTTTAAGATTTATAATCTGAACTAAACTGAACTGAAATTTTCAGTTCAGTTTCAGATTGGCCTATAATCCAGACCGAACTAAACTGAACCGTTCAGAGTATTAATTAGGTATTATCATCAAAAATCTCAAAATTTGATGAAAATATATAATGCGAACATAATACAAAATTAAAACAAAGACTTAAAGCCAATTTCTCTTAATTTCTTGTGGGCTTTAATAAAATATCTCTTATTACGAAGACAATATTAATAAATACAAAGTATAAAGGTAAGAAAATATATGGTCTTATTTTCAGTTTTATTACTAGTAGAATACTTATTTAAAATTTTTTCAGAAATCCTCTTGGAGACTTTGGGTATGAGTAATTGTATAGCTATAGAAATAGTCTGTTTTAGTGAAAATAGTTGGATAATTTCTATCAGAAATCTGATAGTGAAATATGTGAATGAGAAATTTAATATTAGTATTATATTATCTAAGATCATTAAAAAAATAAAGTTTTACCTGACGTAAGCTTTGATTTTTAATTATGTATGCATTAAAATAAAAAAATATATATATATACTATTATATTTAATAATCATAGATAAATAAAATTATAATTAAAAAAATAATAGTGAATCACAAAAGCAATTAAAGTTTTGAGTTTATTTAATAAGATCCAATTCTCAAAAGATGTTCTGAAATAATTACAAATGGAACTTTGTAATACTAAATATACTTTAGTGTAATCTGATTCTCTTTGTATAATTTTTTCTTGAGTTGATCCCACGTTTGCTGTTTAATAAAATTATTAGAATCACTATTATAGAAGAATTTGATATATTTTTTATGTTATACATCTTTGTACTTTAATTGCAAAACTATATTTTGAATAATAAATATCAAGTTCTAATCCTATAGATATTTTGAGAAAATTAGGTTTGCAAATTAGTAAAGAAGGATTAAGATATTTTGTTAAAATCTCGTGATATAGCTTTTCTCTTTATATACCAGGCAGAATGGGCACTACAAATTTAAATATTTAACATTATTAAAAGTAGCAAACCATCTATATTTTTTATCATATATCTATAATAAAGCTGAATGATATTAATATAATATTTAGAAAGACAAGCTCCCTTTCTATTATAAACTAATTATTTGACATCTTTAATTATACAAAATCTATTATTTACATAATATGAACATCATGTCTTATTATTTTTCATATTATTAAAAGATACATTCTACTCATACCTTTCAGAATAATATCATGATAAAGGTGAAAAACTATTATCATACGTTTCAAAAAGGCATTTTCCATTCTTACTAAAAGCAACTTGCTTAGTATCTTCAATTGTATAACTGGTTTTATTTACATAATACAGATATTATATCTTACATTTTTAATATTGTTAAGGGATGTAGTCTACTCATAACCATATGTATATCGCTATCGCATTAGAATATTAGCATTAACATATTCAGTAAAAAATAAAATCTATCATGTTTTCAATAATTATATAAGTATTATTTATTGTTAACTTTCTTATTACAAATAGGTGATTCT